CCTAGACAGAGGCTCTTAGCTTCCTGGTCTGCTTGGCAGATCCTGTTTAAAACTTTTTTAGTTTTCAATGCTGCAGAATGTTATTGAGCTGTGTGCACTGATAGCGCTGCAAGGCTGCATGTTCTACTGCTGCATTCCACCCAGGTACTCTGAATATAAAAATGAGATTTATTTATTTGTCTGTACTATAATTTTCACCTTTAGAGGATGGATGGATGGATGGATGTTTCTCTGACCCTTCTACTGGTTCTGTTTCTATGCTGACCTGTAGCTGCTGGGTTTTCCTTCCTTTGGTCTTGCTGACATGAACATAGATGTATGAACATAGATTTCCTTTCATCCCTGATCTGTTTCTGTTTGTCAGGAACCTCCTGAGGATGAGGCAAACATCATCGAGAAGATCCTGGCTGTCAGGAAAGTAAAGAAAGAGGTAAAAAAAAAAAAAAAAAAAAACTCCAAACTCAGCTGCTTTACTTGGAATTATTCTGATTTGCTGCTAACTTTTCTATCATATTTGTCCTGTGAGAACTTTAACCCTTTAGATGTCGCAAAGCATCTTATTAATTAATGCTGATCGATTAATTTTTTCCAGACGTCGTCCGAGGACCCAACGGAGGACGCAGAGGAGTTTTACGTTAAATACAGAAACTTGTGAGTTTTTAAATATTTCTCAATATTAGAAAATAACCTGGAAATGTTTTACTTAATCTGCTGTTGAACACAAGCTTTAAATGTTTCAGTTTTTTGCTGCTTTCTACTTCATCTATTTAACTTGTTGTAAAAGGCGTCCAGGTTTGAGTTTATCATAGATTTTCTCGCCATCAGAGGGAGTCAGAATTTCATAAATGCTCTAAAACATGGAGCTGGTTGACAGTTGCCTTCTGTATCTCTGCTTCTGTCTCCTTGAACTCCAGTCGGCCTTCCTGTTAAAAGGCAGTTTTTCCTCTCCACTGTCACTACAAGCATGCTTAATGTGAGGGATTGCCTTTGAGTTAATGAGTCGATGCAATCCACTGGTTTTCCTTTCCTTTAGGAACTAAACCCTAAATGCCAGCTGCTTCTGAAGCTTCTCCTTTCCTGTATTGGAAAAACGATCTAGAAATAAGTAATAATGTCTTAAATTAAGTGTATTTACCAATAATTGGAGTTGGTAAACAAGATAGTTTGCCATTGGAATGAGTATTTTTATTCTTGAAATCAGATAATTCGATAACATGCACTTTAAATAAGACAATGAAATTGTGTTTTTTATTTTTATTTTAAGTGTAAATTGTCTTGTTCCATTGGCAAAATGTATCTTATGCCTCATCCAAGACCAAATGCACGTATTTTAAGTAAAAAATGACTTATCTAGATTTGGATTTATTTGATTGTATGGAGAGATGATCGTCTTCTAAGCGGTTCTCTCTTGCATGTTTAGGGAAACTAATTTCACCTCCAGCTGCCGGTCATTGTGTTCAGATGCTCCTCTGGATGTCGCTCCACTTTCTATCATCATAACCAGGCAGATTCAGCACTTATTCTGTCTGCTGTGCTTAATCTCTCTGCATAAAATATGGCCGGATGCATTGCAGCATCACTTTCTCCACAAACATTTATTTGCACGTAGCAAAGTTACAGAAAAATGTTTCTGTGAATTTTTTTCTGTGAAAAATGAGCAGCAGAATGCAGAGCGGTCACAGCAGGAGCCGAGGTTTGTTCATCTCTTCACTGGTTTACGGATCACGTCAGGCTGCCGGAGTTACAGCAGCTGCTGCCTTTCCAGTCCGCTGATGTTTTTATTGCACTTTAAATTTCACTCCTTCTTTTCCTTCCCATTTCAATTTATTAAACTTTAAAGGAAGTAGTTTGCATCTAAACTTTATTAACAGCTGCTTTGTTGCTCCTGGGGTGTGAAAATACAAATGAACTTTTCTGCACAATAAAGTGTGATGATGATCTCAGTCGGCTCCCTGTTTTCCTGCAGCCAAAGGCTAGAGGTCGGTCCTCGCCGGACCTTTTAATAAAAGTCTGAGCAGTTTTGATATAACTCAAATGTGGAAAGAGGAACCAAATTAATTCAATTCAGTTTATTTCTATAGCGCCAATTCACAACTCATGTCATCTCAAAGCACTTACAGTTCACCAAATCATCGAGTCAAATTGATTCAACATTTTCTATCTCAGGAAAACCAGTTGATTGCATCGACTCATTGACTCTAATGCAATCCCTCACACTAAGCATGCTTGTAGCGACAGTGGAGAGGAAAAACTCCCTTTTAACAGGAAGAAACCTCCAGCAGAACCAGGCAATTTTTCCACTAATTGAAATGCCTTTAAATAAACATTAACATGAATTCAACACACTGTAGTAAACAGATAAATGGAGGCAGAAGATGTCTTTCAGTCATCAATGCACACATTCAGCGACACACAGGAGCTCTTTCAAGCTGGGCACCGTTTCATTCACAACACCTGTCCCATCAACCAGGAAGCAGATTCAGAAATACTTTAATAATCCCAGGGAGAAAATACTTTCATTACATGACTCCATCTGTAATAGAGTGACTATAGGACCAGTTTGATATAACACAATTTCATACAATATATATAATTAGGGGGTCACCGCTCCATCTCACCATCAGTTTGGGGTTCCTTTCCCTGGAAAAGTTGAAGACCCCTGCATTAAGGCATTGATGATGTCACTTTTGGATCTGGGATCAACATGCATTCCTGCAATAAAAAGATCCTTAGTTCAGCAGCTCAGCCTTGATATGCTATAGATTTTAAACACCTAGATGTTAAACCTGCTCCTATATGCTATTCTGTGAGCCTTCCTTGGATTTCTGCTCCTGCAGTCAGAGATCTATTCTGGCTCCTTTCTATCTCAACTTTAAGTTCTTTATCCGTCTGATCCTGAATGTTTTTGTTGTGTGGAAAATCTGTTATAAATAGAAAGAAGGGCTGGAAACCATCAGCCGGTGTTCATTCTATACGATTATATATCTGTTTTATTTTGGGTGCGAATTGAAAGCGGTACACTGCGTTCAGTTCAGGAATTAAGAATTTTCTTGGTTTGTTTTTGTCCTCTTTCAGTTCCTACCTCCACTGCAAATGGGCCACTTTGGAAGAACTGGAGAAGGATCCCAGAATCCATCAGAAGATCAAACGCTTCAGGACCAAGCAGGCTCAGATGAAGCACCTCTTTACTGAGGTAGAACCTCCCGCTGTTCTCCTTCCTCCCTGTTTTCAGCTCTACTTTAACATGAAGGCAAATCATATTTAAATGTCAAATCATTCTAGCTTAAACGTATATAAATTTAATCTTTATCAGATATTGCCCCAGACATTTTTTGTCATATTGTTAAATAGCAGAGCTCAGTCTTAGAAGCTTTTTCCTTCAAGACTGACAATGATTGTTTTCTACATTTGGATCACCAATGCAATATAAAATAATAGCAAATCTTGGTAATAATATGTTGAGACTCAAAAAGAGATTTGATCCTTAAGAAACAAGTGCAATACAGTTTGTCCAAGTGGAGTTGCCATATGTTGACGTGATAAGAAGGGGCAGGGCCCCAAGCAGATCTGGTACCTACACCGGATTGGAACCTGAGTCGGCCACATCAAGCATTAGGACCTCTGTACTCGGGTCTTGCACACTTAACCACTGCGCTACCGAAGCGCTCCCAGAAAGCAGGTATATAAATAAATCAAAAGGCTGAACTAAGGATACCTCAGTTAACGGAAACATCAGCAGTCAAAGGCAGCTCTGAAACACTGTGGTTTAAATTTCAAAGAAGGCTAGCGGTAAACTGCTGTTGTCACATTTCAGCCGTACTTAGTTCCAAATGGACTTGATTGGATGATTGATCGGACCGCCTAATTGGTTCTTAGTACAGATCAGAGCAGGCCGGACCGTGAACGATCGCTGTTTTTCTCCCCGCAGCCTGACGAGGACCTCTTCAATCCAGACTACGTGGAGGTGGACCGAGTCCTGGAAGTGGCCGTTACCACGGATACAGAGACAGGAGAGGTAGGATTGTCCGTCAAACCCGTTTGGTTGTGGTCTGTGCGGAGCCGTGCCATCTGACCCGTTTGTGTTGCTGCAGGAGGTGACCCACTACCTGGTGAAGTGGTGCAGTCTGTCGTACGAGGAGGCCACCTGGGAGCTGCAGGAGGACCTGGACCCGGAGAAGATCAGGGAATTCGAGGAGATCCAGAAGCTTCCGGCAGACCTCAGACACATGGTGGGTAGAAACGAATCTACAGAAGATGTCTGCGGTTCTGCTTGTCCCTCATTCTTCTGCGGTGGTCTCGGATCTCCTGACCAAGAATGCGCTGGCAGCATCATTTCCTCACATTTCTGCTGACTCAGAAATATGAGTCGGCATATTTCTGAGTGAGTAATCCACTCAGAGCTAGAGTACTGTCAGGGTCTGTCTGACAGGATGGGGCTCTGCGCCGTTATCTGCATGGGACAGAACATGACGGATTTGGGGGTAACGGACATGTCAGCCTTTTCAATTCAGTAATCTAGCTCACATTACTGAGCTAGATTACTCAGTACTCTAGCTTAGTAATCTGAGCTACATTACTAAATTGAAAAGGCTGACCTAGAAATGAAAACTGAACCTTTTTAACAAAGTAAATGGTCCTTAATAATAAAACAAATGTTTATCGGTTAAAACCTCAACACTTTTGGAGTATCCTAGTAATATTTTTTAATTAGGTTTAGGGCTGAAACAATTAATCATAATTAATTGATTAATGCAATAATCATCAATAATTTAGCGGTTAATCATTGACTGGAGCTGGTTGGAAAGTCCTGAGTTTCTGAGCAGAGCCAATAAGAGCAAAGAATCTAGTTTTTCATAGAATTAATTTTACGGATCTCTGCTCCTTGATTCCCTCAGGAAGCTAAATTTTCCTTTTTTTTCTTTGGCAGGATCGTCCGCCTCCAGAAAAATGGCAGAAGTTGGAGAGCTCCAGAGATTACCGCAATGGGAACCAGCTCAGAGAATACCAGTTGGAGGGAATGAACTGGTTGATGTTCAACTGGTACAACAGGTGGGTCCTCAGACACGTCAGCTGAGGGGGTTCCTCCTGGTGGAGAGCCGGCCATGTCCATGACGTTCTTCTCCTCCTCCTCCACAGGAAGAACTGCATCCTGGCGGACGAGATGGGTCTGGGGAAGACCATCCAGTCCATCACCTTCCTGTATGAGATCTTCAGCATGGGCATCCGCGGCCCCTTCCTCATCATCGCCCCGCTGTCCACCATCACAAACTGGGAGAGGGAGTTTCGCACCTGGACGCACATGAACGTCATCGTGTATCACGGCTCGCAGATCAGCCGCCAGATGATCCTGCAGTATGAGATGTTCTACAGAGACGCGCAGGTCAGAGCTTCTGCCGGCTCGTCTTTGGCATCGCGCCTCGCTTTAGCAGGACACCAACTGACATCCCCGCCGCTTCTCTCCTGCAGGGTAACACAGTGTCAGGAGGGTTGAAGTTCCACGGCCTGATCACCACCTTTGAGATGATCATGGCCGACTGTCCCGAGCTGAGGAAGCTGCAGTGGCGCTGCGTGGTGATCGACGAGGCCCACAGGCTGAAGAACAGGAACTGCAAACTGCTGGAAGGACTCAAGCTCATGAACCTGGTCCGTTTCCTGCTGCTTTTCCTCTAAGGCACATGTGTACAATTTAAGGCAACATTTCTGGCAGTAATGAGCCTAAGCTAGCACACAATGGCCGTTTCTCAATATGTGTACTTGTGCCTTCTCGTGTACTCGTGAAACGTCATCAGACTCGGCCCTAGTTCTCTTCCAATTCACAAGAACAGCAGAAGTTCCCGGATGTTGTTCTCGCCCCTCCCTATTTACCCAGCATGCATCACATTAGACTAGACTGATTGACAGCTGTCCCAGCATGCACTGCAGCAGCAGCAGCTTCCAATGGAGCACTCACAGAGCTCAGAGTATTAAGTTAAAAGTTCTCTTTTTGTTGCCATTATTCAATAAAAGTATGTTAGATAATATGTTAGATAATTTGAGGCGAGAACTTTATACTTTAAAGCATCACTATATGGCCCATTTACTGATTTAGTGCGTAATTAAAAAAAAAATTCCAATGTTAAGAGGACCGCAGCAACCAGTGGACCTCCAAGGCTAACGGCAGCCAGGACTAATGTTAGCCTGTCCCCAGCAGCTCTCTCTCTGCATAGCTGTGTGTGAAGGACCGCTGACTATGATGGCAATTTTTTTTGTTTTATTTGGCAAAATATTCATTTGATTTGTTTTTACCTGACTGTGTTCATTATTATTCCCCCACTAAAGGAAGAAAGTCACACACTTGTTACACAGTGTCCTCACTTTCCTGTGTTCTTCTCAAGAACATACTTGGCGAGGAACACAATTCCTATTGTGAATTAAGAAACGGCCAATGTCAGCAAGTAAACGCCGTGCTTCTTCTAATGTTAAGAAAGAGACTCAAACTGCTAAATGATTGGAAATAAAGTTCTGATCTCAGACTAGTAGGCTGTTTGTAATGAAGTCCTAAAATAAAAATTTTCATTTCCACATCTGCTTTCAGTCTTTATCACAACCAGGGGGTGAATTTACCATTAAGCAATACTAGGCAGTTGTCTAGTTCCAAGCCCCATAAAACTCTGTTTACATGTATGGTTAATCCAACTATTCCTTATTTGTGCACATTATGTTTTTGATAAAAATCCTTTGGCTAAAATGCCATCAGAAAGCTTGTGATATTAAGTGTGTCTCAGCCCCGCCCCCCTTAAGTGTCCACCATATTGGATCAGTCCATTTACTGCACATGTTCAGAAAGGTCCAAACAGACAGCAGCAAACCATTTGAAAAAACAAACGATTTGAAGAGCAGTGTTGCCAACTTAGCGCATTTGTCGCTATATTTAGCGACTTTTCAGACCCCTCTAGCACTTAGATTTTAAAAAAGCGCCAAATCTGGCGACTTTTTTCTGCTAGTGGAGACTTTGGAGACAACATCTAAAAGCAGCGAACTCTGCTCTCCAGAGCAAGTAGATTGGTAACCCCGCCTCCTGCTCTCCTCTATCTTGTCTGCTGTCATGATTCATGCAGCTATTATTTCATCCAAATGAAAAATGGAGAACAGATAAGCAGATCATGGCTTGTCTACAGTGAAAAGAAGGACTGGGTTATTTACTTTGGCCTTTTTGGAAACACAGGAAGGAGCAATCAGCTAAGTGAGCTTAGGGCCTGGAAAAAATCTTTCATTCCTTTAGAGACAGCATGAAAAGTCAGCTGAGTACAAAACATAGAGAGGAAAACAAGAAGAAAAGGGACAAGAAGAGAGGGACAAAACCTAGAACAGATAATGGATGTCTATTCTATTAATATTTCTCTATCTGTATAATGGGTCTGTATTATGTGTTCTCTTCTTGATTCAGAGGGCCCCCTTCTTGTCTTTCCTTAGGGCCCCAAATTTCTTAAATCCACCCCTGATCACAGCGATCCAAACCTTGCTCTAACATCCGTTCTGCTCCGCATCCTTACAGGAACACAAGGTGCTTCTGACCGGAACCCCTCTGCAGAACTCGGTGGAGGAGCTCTTCAGCCTGCTGAACTTCCTGGAGCCTCAGCAGTTCCCCTCAGAGACCTCCTTCCTGGAGGAGTTCGGAGACCTGAAGACAGACGAGCAGGTGAGTCCAGCTGGGTTTGACGTTGGTGCCGCAGGAGGAGAGCGGATCCGCCGGCGAGCCAAGCAGCAGAGCTTCATGTGTCTAACTGCTTCTTCAACAGGTGAAGAAGCTTCAGTCCATTTTAAAACCCATGATGCTGCGGAGACTGAAGGATGACGTGGAGAAGAATCTGGCGCCTAAAGAGGAAACCATCATTGAGGTGAGAGACTCACCCAACTGTCTGAGTGGACGGTCGAACCGTCCTTAGAACACATTGCTCCAGCTTTTCTGAATCCTCCCTGCTTTCTGTTCTAGTTTAAAGTGAACACAAGCGAAGCGCGTGGATCTGCGGTTTTCCATGTTAGCCTGATATAGAGTCGCGTTCAGTAAACGCTCGGTGATGCGAAGGACACATTCAGAACTCATTCCAAAAATAAGTAAAAAAAAATCCACCTGACTTTGTTTCCAAGTTTGAAGACGTTTCGCTTCGCATCCAGGAAGCTTTTTCAATTCAAAATGTCAGAATAAGCGTTGATTTCAAGGTTTTATACAGTAGCCCAACAAAGCCTTTAGAAAACATGCAAATTGAACCGGAGGAACGGGCCAGCCCCTTAGGAATGGGGTTGTTTAAGGTCATTGTTAGCCTGTAATACCCGACACCTGTCTATGTCTCTGAAAGGGGGGTCTTTAGAGGGAATTATTGGCCTGGCTGAAACAGGCGAGGTGTTTAGGTCCCCTGTATGGCAGTGAGGGTTGTGATGGTAGCTGGAACGGATCAACTCAATTACTGCATTGTAGTTTTTTTAAAGACTCAATTTTCTTAAAAAACCTACAATGCAGCAATTGACTTGATTCCTTCCAGCTATCATCACAACCCCCAGGTTTAGCTAAACCAGGTTTAGCTAAAACTCAACTTAAGGTCTGGAAGAAGCTTTATGGCAAAACATTTACATATTTTCTTTCTTGTTGTGGCTCTTTCTGCAAAGGCCATGTTTTAGTCTCTTATTTCTATAATCGATGCATCACAACTTATCCGATTAATTACTTCAGCACCAATGATGGTGTTGCCAGATAAACTAACAGATTTAATGTGAAAACGACTTGCCATACAGGCACTTTTTTTTTTTCCACAGCGTGGAAAATTCGATGCGTTTGTGTTTGGTGTGAACATAGCTCAAAACTGCTGCTGAGCCAAAGTCAAGGTGTGAAAGTGGGCGGGATCAAACTCCTAAACCTGAAGGACAGAGAGTGATAGAGGAGGACGATAGTGCCCAGATCAGGCAGCCTATAAATGCAACCCTTCTCCAAACCACCTGGGTCAGATAGATGGAGCCTCTGCAGAGCTACAGGACTGAATGTTGGGGGTTAATCAGCCATTTGGTTTATCTGTTGAAGAATGGATCCAGATTGCATTGGGAGGACGGCAGCTCTCTTGAAATCTGGATATTTTGCAGCAGGGCTCCAATATCCTACGTGCTTCAGGTGTTCCTCTGCCTCCACACGCCTGACCTCATTTAGTGCGTCATTAACAGGCCTCTGCAGCTGCTGAGGACATGATGCAGTCATTAAATGCAGCTCTTCTGGTTCATCCCTTCACTAATACTAACTATACTTTAAGTTAGGGATGCAGGGTATCGATTATTTAACAAATCTCTAGTTGATTCATATTTTCCTTTGACCAGCCATTCATTGATAAGCAGCTATATTACACATTTAAATAAAAATGATATATAAAACATTAAAAGTTAAACTAAAGATGAATAGAGTTTGTTTTCCCCATTAACATAATATTGTGAAAAATTGTTCTAATTCAAATAACCAAACATAAAACCCATAAAAAACAACAATTCAGGTGAATAAGGAAGGTAAAGAGTGCCACAATATAATGAATAAATAACTTAGGAAATACTTATTTGAATCTGCAATTAATTTTATTTAAACTAGGAAAAATTCAGAAATTATTTTACAAGTAAATGATTAAGTTCAATATATTGATTTAATTTTAGGAAGTGAACATAATTATTTCATGATTCTATTAATAATTCTGTGTTCCTGCGAAGCATATCATGAAATGATAAAAACTGTCACATCTATGAAAGTCAAGATGGCGGGACTACAGCTGCAGCTGCAGTTTTTTTTTTTCTATAAAGTCTATATATATTTTGTATGAGGTATATATATGTATATAATGATTGATTTTGTTTTCACTATGTGTATACAGCGCTCCGCACCGCTCATGTACGTCATGCTGAGTATTTGTCTGTCAAGTTAATCAATGAGAACTGTTCCACATCCACCGCTTCTCCTCCGCACGTCACCATCCACGCACATCTTCTCCGTCCGTCACCGTCAAAATACGGAGCTAGGCTATTTTTTTGCTCCGGTCCGTTGGAAACCGACCAGGTCAAAATCCACAACTACATTCGCACCAAACAGAAAAAAGAACATTGAGAAGATCCGGTTTGTCAAATTGACATATGGTAACGATGGATCGGTAACTACAAATTACAACATCATTTTATATAATCCCAAAACACCAGGAAGTAGTATGACGGAGTATTAGGTCCAGGTTAGACATTTTTTTTATTTTGAGAATAAAGTTGTAACATTACGAGAAAAAAGTTGTAATAATACGAGAAAATTTTTTTTATATTACGAGAATAAAGTCATAACATTACGACACAAACGAACCGAGCTAAACTGGTACAAGTTCATCAGTAGGGCTCGGCGCGGTTCAGTTCTGGCTCGATTCTCAGATAACAAAGAGTGCATGAGCAGACCGAGTCATCTCCTTACAGTCAGGCTCCGTAATCATGAAATTTCAGATATTCATAAAAATACTAGCTTCCCTACCGTGCCACACGACTTCCAGTCAGGATTCTGTTTAGCAGTGTGATGAGCGTCAAAGTCTCTCGTTGTTTCCTGCGTCTGTAAGACCTGATTAGACTTATCATTTGTCGTATCCACTTCCCAGAAGCCGACTCTGTCAAATAAATTCACCAAAGGCTGCCTTCTTCGCCTGACTCTGCAAACTTCCTAAATGTTATGGGCGCCGCCATGTTGGTTTGCTTGTTTATGTCTAGAGAGCAGTAGTACAGTAGATTGCCACTTGGAGACGAGGAACTGTGCTGGCGTGGCGTGTAAACGGTCTTATGGAACCAAGCTCGGCACTGATGGGTTTTCAGAGGGTAGTGGAAATGGGGCTACAGTGGAGGGCCATCTGCTGCCTGGAACATCCTTCAGCATGGCCGCTTTGGCAGTGGGTCAGAAATGGTGTGGGCTGGGATTTCTTTGTAGGGCTGCACAGCCCTCCATGTGCTCACCAGAGATAGCATGACTGCCAGGTACCGAGATGAGATCTTCAGACCCCTTATGAGACTTTATGCTAGTTTGTTTGGCCCTGGATTACTCCTAATGCAGGACAGTGCTAGACCTCATGTAACCGGAGTGTGTCAGCAGTGCCTTCAAGATGAAGGCATTGAAGTTATGGACTGGACTGTCCATTCCCCAGGCTTTAATCCGATTGAGAACCTCTGGGACAATGTGTCTATCCGTCCACCAACATCATGTTGCACCACAGACAGTCCAGGAGTTGAAGGATTCTTTAGTCCAGGTTTGGGTGGAGATCCACCAGAAGACCATCCACCACCTCATCAGGAGCATGCCCAGGCGTTATAGGGATGTCATACAGGCACCTGGAGGCCACACACAATACTGAGCCTCATCTGACCTGTTTGAAGGAAGTTTGATGAGCCAGTAGTGTTTTTTTTCTACATACATTTTTTATTTCTCCAAATCCAGGCCTCCCTCGGTTAATGAATTTTGTTCCCATTGATGATTTCTGTGTTATTTTGCTTTAAGCACATTTAACCTTGTACAGCGTCAAGTATTCAGTGAGAATATTTACTTCATTCAGATCCAAGATCCGTTATTTAAGTGTTCCCTTTATTTTTTTGAGCACTGTTTATTGCCTTGAGTTTATGTCCATGTCTAATGTTGCCTTTACTACTCTGACAGGCCTCTAAGAGTCAATGGTTTGTTCTTCTAGGTGGAGCTGACCAACATCCAGAAGAAATACTATCGTGCCATCTTGGAGAAGAACTTCTCCTTCCTCTCTAAAGGAGCAAACCAGCACAACATGCCGAACCTGATCAATACCATGATGGAGCTCCGCAAGTGCTGCAACCACCCCTACCTGATCACAGGTGACTGAGAGCAGCTCTCTGTAACTTCTCTGTAGCCTAGACATGCGTTCAATCTGTTCATTTGATTCTGTTTCACTGGTATGAGGAGAACACCTGGAGATGTTCCAAACCAATTACCCTCCACCTTTTCTTCTTTTCTCTCAGGGGCCGAGGAGAAGATCCTGGAAAGCTTCAAGAAGAGCCACAGTCCAGACTCCCCAGCCTTCCAGCTGCAGGCCATGATTCAGGCGGCTGGTAAGCTGGTTCTGATCGACAAGCTGCTGCCCAAGCTGCTGTCGGGGGGTCACAAAGTGCTGATCTTTTCCCAGATGGTCCGCTGCTTGGACATCCTGGAGGACTACCTCATTCAGAGACGGTGAGAGAGATATAGAGAGAAAGGGTCTACAGTTGGCTGTATGTCTGTCTGTCAGGTTCTGGCCTCAGACCTCCATCTGTCCACTGAGCAGGCGATTGATAGGACCCTCAGGGGTGCAGAGCATCTGTCCACTGAGCAG